CGCCGATGCGCGCGAGGATAGTTTTCCCCAGAGGAATAGTTAGTAGCTTAGAGAGAGAGCGGTAGCGAACACGAAAGATTTCTCACACTTGAAAACGACATAATCTCCCTGACCTGACGTTTGTCTCCTAACGCGCATTAAAAACGAACGCCTGGAATGGTGTTCTTCTGTCATCATCATCCCGTGTTATCTTCCGATAACGTGAGTGGGTAGTTCACGAGTCGTGCCGCAGCCACGCGGGGACTTGGAGTCTTTGTGTCCGTTATTGCATCAATTAATCCGGACTGCTTTCGATTGTTGACGTGGACATCGATGAGATTGGCGATCTACGCAAATATGCGAAGTGTACGCAGTCGATGGCGCGGCTTAATAGCCGTTCGAGCGCATCTCACCTCCTCGTAGTTTACTATACGTATGTACACCTGTCGGTCTCTCTCTCTCTCTCTCTCTCTCTCTCTCTCTCTCTCTCTCTCTCGCGGCGAGATATCACGGGGGATACGTCGCCGATACACATAATCATCTCGCAAATACTGGCTTCGCGTCCCTTCGAGTTTCTGCATATAGGCACGCGCAGAGTCGCTCTTAAATATACACGGTGGTGGTCCTTGCTGTCGGTGTTGAGCGTTGATCGACAAAAGTTCTCTTTCGCCGATATAACCGGCAGATCAATTACCAAAATTAATCAGTTGTCATGCGTAAAATCACGAATAATACGAGTCGATTGATGCAATCACTGATCCGTGTATAATCAGCGCTTGATTAACAATCAGTTTCACGAATCGGTGAAATCATCTGTGAGTTTACACATGACGATTGATTAATCGATTGATTATTGGTTATTTGCGCCATTTTGACTCTAGTCAAGGGAAATTTTCGCCGATTCATGCCCAACACTGCCCGCGCGGAAGTCGGTGTCTCCTGAACGATGTTTACACGCAAACAAATATCACGACGCGTACCGTATCTAAATGCGTAGCGGTCTAGGCATCTTACGTACGCGACGCCGATGGTGCTGGAACTCCAATCTACTTTTGCGATTTTCATCTGTTTCGAGACACATCGAGAAGAAACGTGCACTTCCTACGTATTTTCCGTCGTCGACTAGGTACACAAGGATTACGTCGATCCTCTCATCGCCAGGATCATCGCGAGGCGAAAGAACTCGACAACGAGTTACGGCTCGAAAGATTACGAGAATTACAGGATATGTAATCGGTCCCATGGGGACCGTTTGAAATTCAGTATGCTGCACCACAATGCGCCCGGTTGAATTCTTTCAGAAAAGTGACAATTTCATCGTAACAAGACGAGGTACAACGGCGCTATAACGGCGGGCAAAAACTGATCGGGTTTCCATTCGGAAGGCATTTCAGCACGGAGAGAAAAGCAAACTTCGTGGTGCGCAATCGCTACGTGCGGCTGTTTAAAACAGCGGTTGTGCCGGCCGAAACGAACGAAGGGTGAATTCTCGCTCGCGATCACTCGGTCGTTTCGTCCCCGCGGGGATCAGGAAGTCGGTCGAGCTTTCGACGAGATCTCGCTTGAGCCGCGCGCGACGTAAATACAAACATTCCCACATCAGCAGCTTATAGTTGCTCCTAAAACCGTTACACGATAAGATTTTCGAAAAGAAGTGCGGCGATTCGTTATAAAAGAACACACAGTCACTATTAATGAAATTTATATCAGTACATTACGACGATATTACCGCGAAGACAAGCTTCCGTTCCGCTCGCGTGGTCTCGTGAAACTCGGGAGGCACGTTGTACCTGAGAGACAGAGCCGCGTTTCCTCGCGCGCCTCCTAATGTCTAAAGATAACGTCTCGATTATTTATCACATCGGCCTGACTCTATCGTTGACCGGCTGATTGACCCGCGGGATAATCGGGACCGAGGATCGATTTGCTCGCACGCGCACTCCCAACCCCAGGTACAAGGCACGTCCTGCCAAAGGCATGAGATATAGCCGCTTGCTTCTTCGTACGCGCGCGCATAGTGTCCACCAAGTAAGAGGAAGATACGACGCAAACGGCGGGGAGACGGGCTACGATCGGCTGCGGAGACTCTCGATTTCTTCGGCGACGACGAATCCTCATCAGGACTAGCGTTCTCCCTATAAACTCAGTTTTCCACTAACCCGAAATCACTAGGGAGAGTGGGAATGATATTCGGTCGTGCCTCCGTGGCCGACTGCGCGGCACCTCCCTCCCGCCGTCCGTTACACCACCGAGTACACAGAAGGGATTGCTTTTGTCAAGGCTTGTTTTGTCGATAACGACAGCCGCGACTGTGTCGTCTCCCGTTTGAAGGAGGGTTGGCATCTACTGTGTCTCATATTTTCAAAAAATACAGCTATCGTCTCGCACCGCTTTTGTGTGAGCACATTTCCGCGTGTTCTCTTCATCGTCTCCTCGTTCCGTCCGCGAGATCGACGACGCCGGAGGTTCGCGCCTGTGGCAACCATCGCTCAACGATCGATCGCTCGCATCGATCGACCGTCGCGTCGACAGCCAGACAGATAAGAAGATCCTCCGCACGCGGCTTCGTCGATCTCTCCCGAGAAATACGTAAGAGAGTCCCGAGCCGCGTCGCCGACCGAGAGAATCGGCCGGGATCGAGGCCGGGGCAGCGGAAAAACAGGAAGTCGCGGGATCCGCGAGCGGCGGGACCGCTTCCATGGTACTTCGTATCGCGAGCCTATCGGTCGCCGCCGACCCATGCACCTCATTGTCGAGCCTTATCCGGGCGTCGGACATCCCCCTGAGAGATAAGAGACGAAAGAAAGGGTCCGTCGGACTCGTCCCCGACACGCGGCTAAAATATTTCGATTCTCCTTCCGCCGACGACGACTCGTGTCGAAACGACGGTCGCTTCGTCGCTTCTTCCTCGAGGCGCTCCTCGAGTGGAAGGAGGCTCGCCCGGATAAGGAACAAGCCCAGCGGCACCAAAACGTTTTTTTTTTTTCGTCTTGTCAATGATGATGGCGGCGCGGGGAGGCTCCCGAGGTCCATTGTGTACGTAAGCGCGTTGGGGCGAATTGAAATTGTCTTTCAGTTTTTTCGCGACGCCTGCTGTGCGCGTCCTCTCTATTCTCTTTATTACAAATTATATTACGGGATGAGAGAAATAGAAAAATACGGTAACCCAAATATGGATTTCGGGAGGCACGTCGTATCCACGCCTGTCCTTGGTGCCGCTGGGGCTTAATGAATCCGCCAGCTCATACCGACGAGGCATTGTACACACATTCGGCAGCCTGCCGGAATGTTTGACACCCGGTATATATGTACACACACATGTATCTTTCCCCCGGAGTGTTTTCCGTCGTCAAACATTCTAGCCCATCCCCGACGCGGCCTTAAGATAGGGCGATACGCGGCACGGCGAGACAACACCGATCGTTTCGCGTTCTTTGCCAAACACAGCAGTGAGAGACATCTTGTATAAATACAGCACACACATATCGCGTCGTGTCCGCAAGGAAGCCGGAACTATCGTCGGCGTCCCGTCGTCTTACGGTTAATTAATACTTAATCGAAGTCAAGAGCGTTCGCCGTTTTAATCTCGCAACGGCGAACATTACCCCAACCGTCACGACGCCTCGCAAGAGCGCCGCGCGCGCGCGCGTCGATGAGCTCGCTCGCTCGTCGACGTGCGCTTTCGCGAAACGTAGATATTAGTTATTTATAAACTTTACGATTTTTTTAATTGTTAACAGGCCGTGGCTATACAGGGCCCACTACTCTTTCAGTTCAGTCTGTGGCACGCGGTCTTCCGAGTGGGTATTGAGGTACGATGTGTCTGTTGTGTGCGTGTGTGTGTGTGTGTGTGTGTGTGTGTGTGTGTGTGTGTACGGTTTTCGTGAATGTACAACGTGTGCTACATGTAAGAATGTGTAGTACACGTCGCTAGAACGTTCACCGTCTTTGTCCTCATGGCTGTATCTATTTTCATGAAAACGAGTGTCTGCTAACGTCCATTCCAGGACAACAAGACAGATGTTCACGTTGCATGGTAAATTTCGATCTCATCGTCCTAAAACAGCCGTTTCTCGGCGCAGACTGCGGAGGGATCTCTTCTTTCGTCGAAGTGCACTTGGTCGGTCCTTGTTGAGCGAACTGCGCTACTCTGATTGAAGATAAAGAGAACAGTTCTTTCTCTCCCGTGCGCGCGCGCGCGCGCGCGAGATCGCGAAGTCGCCTTGTGTTTCTTCAAGGATCCAACGTCGCACTCGGTTCTTCTGATTCCATCGTGGGCTCCTCTCTTTCATTTTTTCTCTCTTTCTCCGCTCACTTATTCATCCCCACGCCGTCTTCGCCTTAAAACAAATAAATAGACCAATAGGCGAAGTTGAAGAGAACGAATATGAGGGGAAAGGCAATGCGCGCAAAGATGTCAATCTTTGCGCTACCCTGGGCACGACAGGTGAACATTCTACGCAACAGGTTCCAGCACCAGTTATCGCTCATGGATTCCGCCGGCGCAGCCAGTGCCGTGGATGACACCGGCGCCGCGATCGACGGCGAGGGTGTCGCGCCACGGGACATGGTGTGCGACGGCGTTCCCAAGGGCGACGTCGACGACGCCGACGACGGCCACAGCGACGGCGAAGGTGACGATCTCGCCGAGCTTCTTCGCGAGTGTCGTGACGCTTTCGGCGAGCATCGGCCGGTGACGCAGTCGTTGTCGTCGTTCAACGGCGAGGACGGCGACGGCGAGCGATCCGATTGGTAACGTTGATGACGATGCTGATGTTGCTGCTGCTGCTGCTGCTGCTGCTGCTGCTGCTGCTGCTGCTGTTGCGAATAATAATGTTGGTGATGATGATGATGATGATGATGATGATGATGATGATTGTGATTGTGATGATGATGATTCTGAAGGTGACGATGATGATTCTGATGATACTGCCGTTGACGAGGACGTGAACGTTGTGTTTGAAACTGTTGAGGATGGCCGCGAGCCACTTCCTTTGATCCAAGCGCTTCTTCTTCGTGGCTTACTCGCTCCCCTCTTCCTCCCGAAACAGGTACGTGGACCAGTACGCTAGGTTGAAGAAAGCGAATACGATTGGGAAGAAAATCCGCGAGATGACGTCGATGCGCTTGGACCTCGTCGGGAACTTGGACAGCCACGACCTGCAGCAGTTTTTTTTCCTTGGTTGCATATGTATTTCGCACTGTCGCAATTTATCTATGGAATCCTCCGGGTGTCGGACCAAAGGCTTCTGAAAGAATTCGGGTGATATTGATCTATTAGTTACCCGCATTTAGCTCTGTTAACTCTAAACGAAATAATTTCGATTATCAGCCCGGGCCGTTTTTTTTTTTTTTGCCGAATAAGAAAGAGAATCTACCGAATCTAACATAATCTCGTTCCTCTATCTATAGGAAAAAAAAAAAAAACGATCGACGAGACAACAGTATAACGTAAAAGAATCTACTCGCGAAACACTGAGATCTCCCTCGACGAACAACGACGCGGAACTCTCCACAATTGTCCACGTAGAGGCAACGTGATCGGGAAACGCAGTCGCTATCGTCCGAAAGGAGGATTCCCGGAAAAAACTCGGCTATTTCGAAACCATCTCGAGCGCGTCCAACGGCACTCGAGAAACGTCCTCTCAGGATACTGACCATAGCGAAGTTGGCGGATCCGTCCGGCTCGAGCAGCTCCGAGGATGGATCGATCGACGACGAATGCTCCATCTCGCTCGCCGGAAACTGCTTCTTTATGTTGTCGCTGTGCATGTCGCTGCGTGACGCGTAGTTGACTAGCGCGAATTCGAGGAGAGCGCCGAACACGAAGGTCAAGCACACCCCCGTCCAGACGTCGATAGCCTTCGTGTAGGATACGGGCGGCAGTGAGGCGTTTATCCCTGATGTCTGCGTGGCCATCGTCAGCAGTGTCGTAACGCCTGCACGAGCAAAGTGGAAGACAGATCTTCTTCGAGGTATTCTCGTGACAGGCAAACGCGAGGACAGTTGACAAAAAGGAGAAAGGCAGGCGAGGCGAGGGAAAAGAAGAGTGGAGAACATCAGAAAGATGGATGGAACGGTTCGCCGTGACATGTTCAGGAAGACGGAGAGAATGGATGAACGTCCGCAAAAGCGAACGTGATCGGAACGTCGCGCGTTTAAGTGTGTGTTCCCGCACAAGTGTATGTCGTCTCGTGTCGATTCGATCGATATCACTTAGCTGTTGTTATATCATTACAATAACGCGTGTGTATATATAATGCAGTTGACAATTAATTGGTAATAATTCATACCTAGTGACACCCGGGCAGGCACGGCACTCTGATCCAGCCAGAAGGACACCCAGGACACGATAACGAGCATGCAGCATGGGATGTAGATTTGGATCAGGTAGTAACTGAATTCTCTCTTGAACAGCAGGTCCACTTTCAAGCAGCTGTACTCTCCTGCATTGTTTATTCAAACGGAAAAAAGAAGACGTCAGCCACGCAGTTCACGAGGACGAAGGAGACTCGCTCTATTTTCTTCGAGTACACAGGGCTGCACACGACGCGTGCGCGTTACTTACCGGTGTTCGTTTTACTATTGCAGTAGTCCGTAAGAAACTTTTCCAGAGTAAACCTGGGCAGATGTAAATTCTTCACCACTTGAACGGGATCGCCCTCCTTCCAGAGGAATACCAAGTCGTTCGTCGTCCATCCGTCTGTCGGATCACGAATGCGAATAATTACTCAGCCACGGAACCGAGATAAATGCCCCCGAATGAAATTAGACCGAGCCCAAGTCTCGAAATTACTTACAGCTAGCCATGCGAAGTGAACAAACTTGTCGGTCTAAGGGATACAGCTTCAAATTCATGGGACAGGAGAGCGTCAAGGATATCCTGCGGCAGAGAAAACAACGGGGAGTTTATATAAGGCTAGCACTGGTGGCAAAAAAAGAAAAAAAGCAATTTGCAATAACGAACACGCTCCCTGTTTTGTCATCACACACGATATACAGGCGAGAAATCCCTCTCTCCCGTATGTATATTAGACGAGCGAATTTCGCAACATTCGATTATACGAGGATGAGCCACGCGCATGGATAATGCATTCTCGTCCTGCGTCGAGACCGGATAAGTGGCTCTTCCTCGTGGAATTTGCGCGAACAGAAAAGAAAGAAGAAGGCAATAAAAAGAGTTGAGGTCAAAGTACCAATGGACACTAATAACACTGATACCTAACTCTAGACAATTTTATTTCGGTTCTTTTTAAATATATATTCAATTTCATTTTAAATATGAATATTCATCATTATTACTTGTATTATTTCTTTGTGTATATTGTTTTATTTTTTCAGTTATTTTATATATGTACGATATATATGTATTATATTTATGATATTTCAAAAGGGTTATTCCGTTTTCAATAAAATAAATATTTAAACTTTCAAAGAAAAAAAATATATATATATAATAAATATATACGTATATTTTACGATAAAAATTGAAATATCCAAGTTAAAAAACCGAAATAATAAAAATATCCAGAATTACGTAACAGTGTTATTAGTGTTCAAGTGTCATTGATGTTTTTACCCTACACATGTCTTATGAAACGTCGTCGGACGTATGAATTATGAAAGTGCGGGGGAAGTAATTCGGCTCGGTGATTTTACGGAAACTTGTACTCACCGTATGCTATAAAGAACGGAGCCGTTTGGGAAAATTCGTATGTATACGTTGGGCATAATGATGTTGTGGAAATGACCCTCCTTCTCATTCGAGAAGAACAGATCCGGCATCCAGACGCGATTAGCTTCCGTCAGAGTCAAGTATTTCAGTCGACCTGCAAAACGAGGGGTTTCCAGGGGAAACGAGGTGGCCTCGGTGAAAAATCGGCGTGACGTTGACAATCGGCGATCGATCGGACGAGCTCGTTCAGCGCGCGGGAAGAGCATGCGAGCGAGTGTGCGAGAATCGGGTGTGTGCGCGCGCGAGAGAGAGAGAGAGAGAGAGAGAGAGAGAGAGAGAGAGAGAGAGAAAGAAAGAGAAAAAGAGAAAGAATAGAGAGAATAAATATAGCTTGTTGCAAATTGGCGTCAAATAGCGCGTGAATAAAACGTTACGACTCGCTATTTACGGAATAATAACAGCAATATGGAAAAAAAAGCATAAACGATTGCCGTTTGCCCATGCTCATTGTTCTGAACATAAATGCCCCTTTGTGCGTGGAATTTCTTGCGTGCGCCGTAGATATTGGGTTGTACGAAATCGCGTAAAAACACTTTGGCATTTATATCGGGGATAAAAGAGAAATACGGTTCAGCCAAACTTGAATTTGCGACGCGCGTCGGAGGAGAAAATAATTCTCTCTACATGGAGAATATATATTATACATCGTAGAGCTAGTGTGTGTCAACGCATTGTGCGCGATCGTCTCGTATCGCAATGATATCAAGAAAGTGCAAGAAGAGTCACAGACGAGTCGAAGTCGTAATGTTGTAAGATCTACGTACCTCCAAAGTCATTAAACCGTAATCTCTCGTCCAACCATTGTTCCCGAAATGTTAATTGTACGGAGTATTCCTGGAGGGCAGAAGAAAAATGTCTGTTAAACAGCTTATCGCGCATGTGACGCCGGGCGTGTACAGCGCGAATTGTTTCTTTTTTCCTTTCAAAACACACACACACACACACACACACACACACACACCCCGAGCGATAGTCCTTCCAATTATAAAGTTCCAAAGTAAAGTAAGGCAAAACTAAAACGTGCGAAACGTAATGAAAAGCAACGGAGTTCTAGATCGTCGGAGTGTTCCGTATCGCGTAGCGCTTACTGTAACGTATCAGTCTCTGCAACGAACGAAGAGAATAGCTTTATGCAAATGGCAGCTTTGCATTTAACGAAGACCGCGATAATCACGATTTCATTATCAGTGCCATAGTACCGAGAAACGAATTCCAGTTTAATCGCGATAATATCTCGACGCGACGGGAATTCTAATAAACGCGCAAAGAAAGTCGGCGCGAATTACGAAAGACGAAAGAGTACGCGCGAGCAAAGGAGCTCGTTTGTCACGTAATCTTACTCCTGCGTTCGATAAATGAGAATACAGAAGAAGAAAAAACGAAACCAAAGAAACGAGAAATCTTGCGTCTATGTAAAAAGCGATCAAAAAGTTATCTCAACATTTTCACGCAGCATGAAGAGAATTTTTCGTCTAACTATAACGTATTATCGCCATCTTGAGACGTGCAATGGCAGATCGGTACTTTCGCTATCTTTACCGTGAGGAGGAACGATCGTCGACACAGATATGAATTAGAAGAAAATATTCTTGGACAGAATATGTACTGTGACAACACAATTTACGCGCAGCCGGTTGACAAAAGATTGCAACACTTCCTCGATGAGTTTTGCAACGTAGGGCATTGCATACCCGACAGGAAAGATGTATTTCTTCTGAGAAATATTAAAAAACAAATTTTCTCTCTCTCTTTTCTGAATATGAGATGAGTTACAAAACTCGTCGAGAAAATGGATGTTAGAATATTTATAATTAGCCGCGACTGTGTACACGGAGGGAATTTTATAGTAAAAATTATTATAGAATCTTTTGTAACCGAGACATTTTCTGTAATAGATTGACATTCTGCAGTAATTTATTATTATCTTTTCATTTCATGTATGCTATTTATATTTTGGAAATTAAAATGCACTATTAAAGAAGATTTATTTTATTTCTTGGCAAAGTGTTTCAGACTTTCCTCCACAATTTTTGTGAGAAAACGTAGAACGGATTGAAATGAGCACAAAAGTCCTATACCATTTTGCGATATTCACAATAATAGTCGAGATATTAAAAAAGACTGATAATCAGTTTGATCCAATGTATAAGTATACAACTGTAGACGACGCCAATCTACAGCTCATCTACCATATCGTACCAATATTCTTTAATTAATATCTCGAGATTTATTACAAATATCGCAAAAAACAGTATGGGACTTTTATGTTCACCTCAATCCGTTCTATATTCCCATAAAATTACGAAGAAAAGTCAGAGACATCCTGTATGTATGATGTGTATGTGTGTGTGTGTGTGTGTGTGTGTATATACTAGAAGGCTCATTGACGGTCGAAACGTAAGGGAAGGATAGACGATGCCATTGATAGAGATACAACATCGAAAAAAAATAATCAATTTTACTATTTCGACTAATTCGATTAATTAATTTGAGCATCCAATATATGTAAAAAATAATCGATTATAGTAAATATCAAATGCACTATAGCTTGGAACTATAGGTTGAAACGATCGGCTCTTAGAGCGGATTATTCCAATTTCTTGGTAAGCTACCTGACAGTTAAATCATGTGGCTGTCTCTGTCTAATTTGAAGAAAGAAACGAAGACAGACATATGATTTAACTGTCAGGTAACTTACCAAGAAGTTGGAACAATCGGCCCTAAGTCGTTTATCGGAGTCGGATGTTGGGACACAGTCGATGGCCTGATAAGGAAAACTCGTTTACAGAAAATAAATTCTTTCATTGAACCATCGACTCCGACGTGTTCCGACATTCGACTCTGACAACGTATTGTAGAATAAGCCTAATGAGAGATTCACATAGCATCCGACATTCGACATACGATCATTCGATACTCAACAGAAGAACAGTTTTCTATAACGAAATATTCAATTCTCCACAGGCTTTAAATCGGTTCTACATCGATCGTATCGTAGCTTTGAAAGTCGCAAGAAATTGATCGATCATAGTCGAAGAAAATAATCTATTGTGATTGATTAATTTCTTGCAACCTGCGATTTGCGATACGACCAAATAGAATCGGCCTGAACCTTCCATTATAGGCCTGCTACAATAAGCTATTAGTCATAAGCCGCAAGTAAATTGACCAATCACAGCCGACTATTTTCAAAAATAATCGACTGCGGTTGGTCAACTTGCCTACGACTTATGACTAATAGCTTATCGTAGAATGTGCCGTTTCATTTGTTACAACGAACTATTCGAATATACCGACTGAATTCCACAAGAAAGGATCAATCATATCCATTCGTTCACTGAGCGCCAAGATCGGTTCTACAATACGTCGTTTGTCGAAGTTGTGTGTCGGGACGCAGTCGATGGTCCAATGAGGAGAACCCGTTTACGGAAAATAAACTCTCTCATTGGACCATCGACTGCGTTCCGACATCCGACTCCGACAAACGACGTATTGTAGAACCGAGCTGATGGAGGATTCACACTACATCCGACATCCGACGTGCGACGATCCGATATCCAATAGAAGAACAGCTTTCTAATGGAGTATTCACTCCTATTCGTATAAAGTTAGCCGGTAAAATATTAAATTTTAAGAATCTATCTTGTGAAATCGTTTGTAGGCGATTTTAATGCAAAAAGTTAATTTAAAAAGTTTTGTGAGTCTTTAGGATTACTATAATTAATTAATTAAATTTTGATCATGATGTTAGCCGCAACTCAACAATTCTTGCAAAATTTTATACTAAATCGTATGTATTTCGTTTGTAGGTGATTGAAGTGCAATTAAAACGATTTGTGAATTTATACATTTATTTTAATTATTTTTAAACCATGAAATTTTTTTTAGCCGTGAAGGATTGGTCAATTATAGTCGATTATTCTTGTAATAATCGACTGTGATTGGTCAATTCTTATGGCTTGCAGCTTACGATATCTATTGTAGATCACGCTAAATGTATACCCGGGTTGCATTCTGAAACTCTATTCGACGGATAGCATTTAATTGATCAATTAGAACATAAAGAACTAAGATTTCTTTATCATGTCATCTGTTCTTTTTAGCTGCGCTGCTGAACCAGTGCAATAAGTTAAAATGAGATAAATATATTTTTTCTCACTCCAACTTACTGCACTAATTGAGCGGTGCAGTTAAAAACGAATAGACAAAAGACTGGATGTTACTTTAGTCGTCTACTAGCGGCTTCTAGTATATGTATATTTCAGTAGATTTGGTTAGACGGCGTGCAAGTGCGTGAATGCTTGATTAACGTGATGCATGAATTTTAAATGATTTTAATGTATTGTGCGAGTAAGTACAATATATTAAACAGCGCGGGTCAGATAGGAGAAATTATGTAGGAAAGAGTGCGTAGATAATAAAAGCGAAATAAGATGTTAGATAAGAAAACAGGATTCAGGACGGGAAGAGCATAGATAATAGAGACAATGGCGTCATGAGGAACGGATAGTCATATACATAATAAGACTAGATCGAGCATAAGGGTCGAAACCAAAAAATCAGGTAAAAAAAGACGGATAATAGGTGTCGTGTATCTTTCTCTGTTTGACAAGGAAGAATATTTGTTATGTTTAGCTGAGTATTTACCCATTAGATTTAGGACTTTAGGATTAAATAAAAGAATTCAGATTCAAGGAAACATGTTATTAGTACTATCGAAAAAAATTTTTTTTCTTATCTTCTTTCACAGAGTGTAGAAACAATGTAAAATTGAAAAAAATTTGTATGAAAAAAAGAAGAACTATAATATTCTTTCCGTGTACTTGCATTTTTTTTTAACGTTTTGAGACGAATCACAGCCCCATATAATTTCGAACAGGTTGGTAAAATTTGGTCTGAATCAATTTTTCCTCCTCATATCGAGAGAGGCGGCGCGCACTTTAAGCCGAGGACAACGCGACACAAAGGATTAACGGGGTCGGCAACTGTTCATTCACATCTACTGGATTGATCTCCCTTGGAGCCATACGCGTATGTCGATAAGTTATCTCGTCACGGACTCGACTGTTATATACAGGAGCCGACGTGATTCTATCGAATCGCACACGTGTCGGATCCGTGACGATCGTCCCTATCAATTGGTCGTGGCGATTGACTATGTATATATATCGAAATGTAAGAGAACAGAAGATATTCATCGCAGAGCGACGAGATGAAACGCTCTTCGACCAGAATTCGACTCGACTCGAGATCCTCGACACTACCGTCGCCGATGATCGAGACGTACGATGGTCCAAGAACGCTTCTCTCCTCGCAATCAAGCAGTCATACGTCACTCGCGAGCACAAGCATTAACAAAAAAAAAATATGCAGGGAACGGTGAGGCCCGTCGTTTAAAAAATGTCTCGGCACACTGCGCACACAAACAGCCAAGGGTGGCGCGGCGAGGGTGGGGGCAGGAGGCTGAGGGTGAGAGCCATGCAAAAGCGATACATCGAGGACCTACCCGGATCGTGTCAGATCAAATGCCAGAAATGTCCTCTCTACGCAATCTGTATATTAATTAGCGATATATATATGTGTGTATATATATATATATATATATATATATATATATATATAT